ATTTTAGCGGTAATATTAGGCTAAAGGTTCTACTCGAACTAATTATTAGGAGATAGAGAGGTAACGCTAGAAGAAGGCGCCTATATCGCGCTAGCGAGGTTAACTATTATCGTTTTTTAGATTCTATAGATTACGACTATAGAGTAGAGAAGTTTAAACTATAATAGAGGGTTATAATAATATATAGAACTCTAATTAACCTAGTACTAGGTTAAGTATAGAACAAACTTCTACTTTCTCTATCCTCGTATATAGCGAGTATAAAATATATACTAGGGAATTATATATACTATTATATAAGGAAGGTTTACCTCGATCCCTCTTAGGTTTCTAAATATCTCTTAGTATTCCTTTATACTAACTACTTATTAAAGTAGATAAAAATATAGTTAAGAACCTAAAGCTAGTAATCTTAAATAGAGATAACTAGGTAGTATTAATACTTATTAAAGATACTTATATCTATAATAGATTAAAGTATATTAATATAGCTTATAACTTTATAAAAAGACTCTAGTAGTAAAGAAGGATTATAGTAGAATATATTCTAATAAAAGAGATAGTTACTAATAGTCTTATAAAACTAAAAAATAGACTCTAATTTTAGAAGTTTATAAAATAGCTCTAAATAGCCTAAAGAAAAAGATTACGTCCTCTTATAGTATTAGAGATAACTTAATACTATAAGAGAAAGAATATTAGGCCTAGGAGTTAAACTATAGTTATTACTACTATAATATAGTAGTAGAATAAGTTCTAATACCTAATTAGATAAAAAAAATTCTTTTAGATTATATACTATTACTTAGATTTTATTTAGAGATATATATACGAGCCTAAGTAGGAGTATTAAATAGTATAGTCTAGATAGGTAGGCTAGAATAGATACCTAAAGTATAAATACTAAAAGTTACGTAACTAAAAGAAGCTTATTTTACTTTAGTTCTTCTACTTCCTATAACTAACTAATATAATTATACCTAGGTTAGTTCCTACTATTATTTATTAATTTAGTTACTTCTACTATATTCGACACCTATATAAACCCTATAGAGTAGTCTTAGCTTAGTAGTAAAAATATTAAGAGATTACTCCTTTAGTAGCTTAAAAAGCGTCTATAATCTATTAAAGTAGCTAGTAAGCGTACTTATATAGTCCCTATATAATTCCCTTCTTAAACTCCGTAAAGTTCCTCCTTGTAGCTATAATAATCAAAGAGACAGTTAAAACAACGCGTTAAGAGCGTGTTGTTGTGCATGCCCGAAGGGGTTAGTTGAAGGATCAACGCTAGACAGGGGTTGTTATGATTCTTGCTCCAGTCTGTATCCCTGAATCCCCAAGCACTCGCCCTCTTCACTTTCGTCCCGTGGAGAAGCTAAACTCTTCGCTCACTTTGTACGACATTGGGGTATGTATCATGTCATGGAATCGGAGACCAGTTATGTATGGCTGCCTTCAAGCCCCAAAACGGCCCGGACGAGTATTCGTGCCAGAGCGGCTGCCTGGAGCCACGTACATACACGCCAGAGGATTGGGAAGAAGCATGACAAGAAGGCCCGTCACCCGAGGCAAATAAAGCCCGCACACGATACTTCAGGACATGTGTGTACAGCTCGCGTCGATATTAGCGCGGTGTGTACTCCCCAAATGACTGTTGTCTCCCCTTACTCAATGTGGCTGACCCTGAGGTTGTTTCCCTAGGATTGTGCGACCTGCTAGGCTCACGAGAGGCGCCTTTCGAACACCGGTGAGAGCTATAGCGGCTTCCGGTCTCAGGCAAGGGAATCTTTGGTATCTATAGCACCCACGGATTGTAGAGAGCGCTTGCTTCCTACATTCTTCGCTCGATTTGGTGCTCTTATCGGGATCGAAGGAGTCCGACTAGTCTCCCAACTTGCTACGATCCAAGACAGTGACGACTTGTTCCACGAGACTTTCGACTTCTTCATCGTGGGGTTGTGCAGACGATCTGGCGCGATCTCCGTCGGCACAAATTCCGCTCACGAGCTTCAATCGCAGTACCCTAGCATTCTTCGGCGTTTCCAATGTCGGCTGCACGACGATCAGGCTGTGCACAAGATCAACACCACTATTATCACATACCTTCTTGGTCTACATGAGCTTCTAGTCTGGCATAACTCGGTTCCTTGGCTGGTGCATCTACAAGGCCTGGCGCAGATTATGAAGCTACAAGGCCCGCGGGCTTTCGCCACAGGCGCAGCATTTGCGGTGTTCAGATGGTATCGATTGCAAGGGGTAAGTACACGCACCTCAAAACCGGGGTATCATATCCGCACACTAACGATGGGGCGATAGGCAGGCTTGTGTGTAGAGCTTCGTCGCCCGTGCTTTGTGGCACTCAAGAGTTGGATGACCGTGCCTTGGTCTACAGGCCTCAAGTCGAAATCTCTTTTAGATCGTTCAGTAGATCTGCTGGTGCGAATCCCTGGCCTCCTAAAAGGTTACGACGACTCGCTCTGCGGTAAACTCTCGCCCGAAGGCCTGGATCAGATCGTGTACAATCTCGTCGATGATATGCACGAGTGGCTTCGGAAGCACTTGAGCACGTCGCCGCTATACGCCACTTGTTTTGAGTCTGACCAGCCTGTTGATATACAAGCTGTTGCGTGCGCTATCTCGACGGGAAAATGCTCAGATGCCGAATTCGCTCAAGCCGTGGCGTTGTACTTGTCTACCTGGCTTCTAATAACTCGACTGGGCGACAGATATACTCATATGCTACCACAGCCAGTGGCAATCTTGGCAGAGCATACACTAGCTATCTGTAAAGCGTATTTGTGCCGACAGGAGGAAACAGGACTGGTGCCATGGATCTTTGCTACACGCATTGCACTGCTCATGCCTACGACGGCTATGGTCTCGAACAAAGTCGAGCTTTGCAGAGAGATTGACCGGCGATACTCTTGCGAACTGATGGCAACTTCAATCAATTTCACGACGACGGAGATAGAGTCCTACCTGAGTCATACAGAGACTGCTGCGCATGATGTCAACATTGACCGGATCTCTAACAGCGATCTTGAGCTACAAGTGAGGAGAGAAGCAAAGCTTGGAGACTAAATGCTACTTTCAATGAGATCTGCTGCAGCTTTATGACACCGAGAGACCTGACACAAGGCCACCATCAAAAGACAGTGCTCCGAGTAATGGCAGATAAGTACCAAGGACTATCTACAGCTAGATCGTTAGACAGACTTCGAAATACTAAGGCTCCATGTCTCTCTAGTAGACATTGTCATTCCAGCAATGCATGCTCATTGGCAATAGAGCTGATAAATACCTCGACCGCCGCGAGGTTGCAATGCTACGTCCACCATCGACTCGCGAAAGTTCAATACGTTGATGTTGGAACGCCATTGGGCAGGCATGAGCAAGGCCTGTTGTGGACAGTAGCAACTTCTCGGCGCTACGCTAACGAATGTAGGCATTGAAACCGACACCACGTAGGTTTCCTGTGGGCGTGATGAGATCTGGGATTTTCGAGCAAGCACACTCTTCGAAACGCTTCACACCCTTAGGCAACAATGACAGTCTATCTCCTGGAGTACAGCGTTGGAGCCTTGCACAACAAAGAGGGAAAGAGAACAAGCAAGAGGGGCCAGCATCCAGAGCCCCGGATGAAGGAGCTGTCTCGAGTCACGACGGGCACTCGGGGAAGAAGGCGAATGATAAATATCAACGTTCTGCTCGACAGGAAGATTTTCTGGGAAACATGTCCTAAGCGTGCTAGCCTCGTGTTTCCTTCAATATAATTTGATTTTGTTCTTGTGGAGTTCTTACTCGAGTCTACATTATTGAGTCAAGTGCATTCCTGTCGTATTACATCCTTCCCGGCCCGCAAGATGTCGCAAAAGTACACGGTCGAAGTCGAGGTTGCTTCGTCGAAGCCTGACAAGCACCGCATTTAGGACTGGGCAGCATTCATTCAAAGTCAGCGGACGAGTCACCGAAGTGCAACGAACTATAGCTTACCGCGACGCAGATGAGCTCGTCTTCAACATCCTGGCACGTGCCATAAATCTCAGCGCCAGCCGCGTCCTTAGAGAGAGCCATGCATTAGTATTGGACGGGGTGAAGCAGGGCTCTTGGTGTTACCAGCAATGTACACTGCGTTGATTCAATGCGGCAAAACGGGTCCACGGCCTCCGCTCCTCGCTTGTTTGGGACCGCCTGGGTAACCATCACAAAGCCGCACAGCGTCGCGAGGATCGTGAATTTCATGGTGTTGGGTTTCGAGGCTGATCGGGTGCAGCGACAAAGTGTTGCAAGTATGTAGTGGAAAGCGATACAATGCTACCGCGATGGAGATACTCGGCCTGTTTTGTAAATTCTAGAGGCTGCAGTCCTTCCTGTTTGAAGTTGTGCTTGTTGATCATCACCGCGTCTGGGCATAGCAGGACTTCCAATCGGAAGTGGTGGCCGCAATATAGACTCTAAACAGGAAACGGAGTCCGGAATTGCCTTTCGTCTGATAACGTGTCGGGTCAGCGCAATGATCACATCTACATCTGAGCATCACTTGAAACCACTTTCGGCTATCTGGAATGCCCTTTTCCGGGTTCGGTACAGAAACTTGGTCACGATCTTGCTACCAGTGATGCTTAAGAGCCAACCACCGCTCGATTCCTCGAGATCAACGTCATTAGCACGCCCGATTGTTCGTTGTGATAGTGGCTTTTCTTTAAATTGGGCTGAGGGGACGATCTGTTCTCAAAAATCCATACTCCAGCCGTGGATCCCTACCGCCGTTCGTGTAGAGCATCGCAGATCTGCATCTTCACCAGCTTTGACTGCGGTCTTTTTTCTCTGCGTGCATGCCAGAACGATCGCCCGAAGCAGGAAGCAAAACGTTGACGAGAGCGCAATCCAACCTATCCGTCGTCCACATAACACCACACTGCATCGCTTTTGCCTAAAGCTTCACCACTCGTATGGAACGAGGCACTGCAGAAGAAGAGGCGGCATTCTTGTCGAGAATTGAGACGGTCCCTTTCCGAGCAAGAGAATCGCGGTCAAGATTCGGGGAGGCCTTCCTCCTTTCGAACGCTTTCGCCGTCCCAGTATTGCTTGTACTTCTACTTCCATCAATTGCCTTCAATATCTGGATAGTTGTTAGTCCCCAGAGGAACTTCCTTGGCCCGCATGAGACCGATCTCGAGGACGCCCGCAGAGCCGTACAATACGAAAGCCGGAAGTTCACCGGTGCCCTTCTTTTCGACGAGAGCTCCTTCCGTGTGTACCGCGAGTTGGATGCTGAACGTCAGTTCTTTGGGCCTCCAAGTGCGACGATTGATGACGCATGGAGCGACTTGCTTCGGAGTGAGATGCCTTCGAGCTTGTTGAAAAGAGTCCTTAGCTAATTTGATCTTACAGATGAATATCCCGTCATGACTGAAGAAGAAGCAGCGCCCTTCCAACCCGAGCTCAAAAGAATTCCACCTGCACATGGCCATTTCTACTTCGAGTATTGACTACTGTCTCTTACTGGACATGGTCTCTGTGCTGACATTATTGCAGACCGGACGTTACGCACTCCCTTCACTGCCTCAACGAGATTCGGATAGCATTGACGGAGAAAGTTTACGGCCAAGCTGCAAACGCTTCGCACCATCGCGTCCACTGGCCCCTTGGCGGAGAAGTCGCCCACATCGAACATTGCATGGATCGATTGATGCAGACGGTCATGTGCCACGGTGACTTGTCGCCTTCGCCATTGTACTTCTGGTACGGTCTGCCGATAGCGCTAGGTAGAGGGAGTAGTCATACCTGTCGCAAGTGGCAGCCTATCCGCGATTGGATTGACGAGCGAAGTAGTAGGGGCTCATTGGATGTCTAGTGTATATGGCGATGGCGATGTTGATTGCGACGTACTGGTATGATCGCCAAGACTATCCATAACGAAGCTTTGGATTGAAGGTTCTAGAGAACCCAACACCCTAACCGTGTTGGCAACCGTGCCAGGTCTAATGGTTCTGTCCACATTCAGGGCGACTTCTTAACTATTTCAGTGCTTCACTCTCAGTCGGACCGACATGTCGGTTTCTTTGGTGCTGACCACACAGCCTGTGCAGATGCTGCTTGGAGAGAAGACCTCCACGTAACTGCCATCGTAGAGCGATGTGATTTTCGGGGCCCCTTGGAGCCGCGCGATGAGGTCGTAGGCCAGGACGTTCGGGGGCCGACACAGGATCGAGGCCGTCGCCGACAACGTCAGTCTTCTGCGGGCTTGCCAGGGAAGGGCGTGAAGAGACGAGGATGTTGACGTACAATAACACCTAGGTTGTTGAAGTACAGACTGTCAAATCGAGCCACATGGATGCAACATACGTCCTCGCGAGTCTTTGCGTTTTTGTCGATGACCTCGTCTCGGGGCGACACGGCTAAACGGGCCGTGTCAGTTCCGAACCGTATTGAGGACTCTAAATCCACAATCACCTACACATCTTCTCTCAACCCACACTCTCAAAACCACAATACCCGACCGACTCATGCTTCACTCGGCGACAGCCTCCTCCGTGACAGCATCGCACATGGTTTGAAGGACAACATAATCACACCTCAAACACCCCACCACCTCACCCGCCATGGACCTCCTCCAAACTGTCCGCAAAGAAGGCTCCCGCGGCGGCGTCAACTTCACTTGGGACGATGTCAAATCCAGCCAACACCGCGAGAACTACCTCGGCCACTCGGTCATGGCGCCCGTGGGTCGCTGGCAAAAAGGCAAAGATCTGAATTGGTACGCCAGAGCAGATGAAGCGGAGCTCACGCCCGAAGAGCGGGCCGAGAGGGAGCGCGAGAGGAAGAGGGAGGAGTTGAGGAAGGTGAAGGAGGCGGAGGAGGATGCCATGGCGAGGGCGCTGGGGTTGCCGGTGCCGGATCGGACAGGTGCGAATAATGAGCCGCTTGGGGAGGGGAAGATTAGTCAGAGGGACGTGAATAAGGCGTGGAAGGAGGCGCTGGGGGATGGAGATGAGGAAGAGGAGCAGAAGGGGGTTGGGCATGGCCAGAGTTCGAAAGATGAGAGGCGGAGGGATAGGAGTCGGGACAGAAAGCGTGACGGTGAGAGGTCTGAGAAGAGACGACACAGGTCGAGGTCAAAATCTCGCGATCGCGATAGGGAGCGCCGACACAGGCACAGACATCGTTCCAGGTCGAAGGAGAGAAAGCACGATCGCAGTCGCGAGCGACGGGACGATGATCGACACAGGCGAAGGCGAGACTACGATGAGCGCTCGCGTAGCCGTGAGAGACACAGCAGACGTCACAGGAGCAGATCGAGGTCTCCGTATGACGACAGACGCCGGCGCCGAGATGACCGATGAATTACGAGCTACGGACAATACTGACTACGTTAACAATACTTGTTCATTACAACCACCTCCAAACTCCAAACCCATCATAGGACAACATCATCGGGACGCGCCAACTCGCCAGCCAACCTTGACATAGGTTTCGCAACATGCACCTGTCGAGTTCTTCACAAGATCCTTGTCCAACTCGACTTCATCTTTAGGATAAAGCACAATGACTGTGCTACCTCCGTACAAGAACGCTCCCAAACACTGGCCTCGCTGGACGGTCGCACCTTTCTGGATTCCGGGTTTGTATCTGATGCTTCCCACCAGCATAGCACCGACAGCCACCAAGGCTACCGGAGAGCTCGTGGGGGTACGCTTGATGATCATCACCGATCGCTTGTTTTCGCAAAAGACGTCGAGCGTGCCTTCTTCATTGATGGCCTGCGGATTCACCGTGTAGTACGTACCAGGGATATCAGTGATACTTTCAATGGTACCCGAAACAGGCGAATGCCAGCGATGATAATCCTGAGGAGCCAGCCGAGCGATGTTGATGGATCCGCCTTCGAACTTCTTTGCTAGGTCTTCAGAACTAAGCAATTCCTTCAAAGAGAACCCGAAGCCCTTGATCCAATATTTGGTGGCGAGATCGACCGTTGGGAAGACCGTGAGACGACAGTCGGCAGGACTTGACACCACGCGTTCGTTCTTTGGCTCTGCGATTGGACGGGCATCTGGCTTCAACTCTCGCGCAAAGAATTCGTTGAAGGTGTTGTACTTGTTCGGATCCGGTTCCTGGATATCATCAGCACGAGAGCAGAGAGAAGAGGATTTGAGCACCCACGTTCAACTCAGAAAGCGTATTCTGTAAGTGGAAGCTCTCAATGAATGGCTGAATATGCTCCCTGCTCTCCGGAGCATCGTACTGCTTTCCCATTTTCACGCTCTGATTACGAAGCATGTCCTGAGATCGTTTCCAATGCAGCATATCCTCCTGATGCGAGCCATAGTAAAGGAGATGCATGCCAATCTACAAACCCATCAGCACCCCATCCACATCAAGAAAACACCCGCCTGCTTGAACACATACCCTGACATAAATACTCATCTCCTCAAACGACTTTTCGCCCGTCTCACGGTCCATGACATAATTCCCCAAGTGCCAAGCGCTCTCGAATTCCTCCAGAGAGTTGTACGGGAAGATAGCTCGAAACCAGGAGTGAGAGCGCTCTTGGGCGGCCGGGGTGTGGATGTGGTCGCGCGGGTCGTCGTCGTGCTTGGAGGCTTTCGAAGTGACGTCTTGAAGGGCCTTCTCAGCCGCGTCGAGATGTTGTTTCTCCAGCTTCTTTTTGGGTGGAGGGGGTGGTTGTTGTGAGGATGAGGACATTGTGATGAGGTTGTGAGGGTGCTAGGTGGTTATTAGGGATGGCAATGGGTTTGTGGTTTTTGTCTACTAGGTTGATGGTGTTGCGAATGCTGCCGCAGATGTTGGCAGAAGGCACGAGGCATTGGACACGCGAGCAGGTCGAGTGACGTTGCCATGTTTGAGGAAGGTTTGCTCTAGTGACGACAGGAAGCTTGATCCCACGTGGAGGAGAGTCAGCAGGTCAGGATCAACCGGGCTCCTGGTTCACAAGCAACATCGATGAGAAGAAGCTGCTCTTGCTACATCAAGTACGCTCTGAACAGACACTCAGCCTTCTTTCTTCCTTGATATCGCATTTGGAAATTCCTGGTTACCATTCGAGCCAATCGATGCCCCTCCTTCGGCATGTGCCCGCTAGCCTCGTCCCTTATCTGCCTATCTCCCACTACTGGTATCGACTCAACTCTCTTCCAGCCTTCTCGACTGTCAAATACATTCGCCTACACCTCGAAAGGTCATCGAAGGTATGGACGCCAAGTTTCCAATGCTTCACACTCCCTCTACAAGGCTGCGCGGCCAGTGCGACGCTGCGATGGCGTGATCAGCAATTTTTCGAGTGAATCCACTCATGCCCGCCACTACCCGTCGCCATCACCCTCAACAATGCTGGTGAGTATGTAACATTTCCAAACGTTTTCTCTTCACCTGTCGCTCTGTTTTACTCTCTGCACCCAACTCGAGCTTCAATACCCGCATCATGGAATCCTCTCCTTCAATCCACACAGAGTCGACCAGGCCGAAACGATCGATATTCCGCTCTGTACCCTTCCAGATCGTGGTGGCATGCGGTGTTTCATTCACAGCTCCGGGCATGTGGGACGCTCTGGGTGGGCTTGGTGCAGGAGGTGCCGCTGAACCATACGCCGTCTCTGCAGCGAACGCTTTGGTCTATGGGCTCTTCGCTGTTGTCTGTGTTGCTGCAGGCGCTATCAACAACCGCATTGGACTGAAATATGGACTCGCCCTAGGTGCCATTGGATACCCGCTGTACGGAGCTGGACTATACACCAACAACGTCAATGCCAACACCTGGTTCATGCTGTTCGGAAGTGCCCTCTGTGGAATCTCGGCGGGTTTCTTCTGGGCGGCCGAAGCTGCTATCATTATCGGTTATCCCTCGCCAGGCGATCGAGCGTTTTATCTTGCCATCTGGCAAACGGCGAAAGCAGCTGGACCTATCGTCGGTGGAGCCATCAATCTGGGCTTGAATGCCAACAGAGAGACCGCAGGCTCCGTCTCGTCGACGACGTACATCGTCTTCATTGTGATTATGTGCTTAGGCTTACCCATCGCCCTATGCCTCTCACCAGCCGACAAAGTCTGGCGCCGAGACGGCACAAAAATCATCACCCGCCTAGCCCCCAGCTGGGCCGCCGAATTCCAAGCCGTCGGCCGACTCTTCCTCAGTCGCAGAATCCTCCTCCTCCTCCCGGCCTTCTTCATCAGCTACTTCTACAACGGCTTCAACAGCACCTGGCTCACCACCTACTTCACCGTGCGCGCCCGCGCCTTCTCCAGCTTCTTCACCAACTTCGCCGGCATCTTCAGCAGCTTCCTCATCGCCTTCCTCCTCGACAAGCAACGCATCCCCATGAACCTCCGCGCCAAAACCGCCTTCATCGCCATCGTCACCCTCCTTACCGGCACTTGGATCTGGGCCACGATCCTGCAGAAACAATTCTACGACGCCCCCGAATCCCCCGTCTTCGACTGGTTCCAAGGCGGTTTCGGCAAGAGCTACGCCCTGGTTTTCTTCTGGCAATTCGGCGGGCAAGCCTTCCAACAATTCCTGTACTGGCTCGTAGGGCAGTACGCCACGGATCTCAGCGATCTCAGCCAGCACACGGGGATTTTGAGGGGTACGGAGGCGCTGGGACAGACGGTGGCGTGGGCGATGCAGTCGGAGGGAAATGCGAATCATTTTGTGAGTATTGGGCTTAATTTCGGGATTACGATCCTCTGCATCGTGCCTACGTGGATTGTGTTGTCAGAGTTGAAGGGGAGTCATGAGGTGGAGGTGACGGAGCTGGAGCAGGAACAAGACGGTTATGGGAATGAGGATGTGGATGTTGTTAAAGCTGTTAGGAAGTGATTCACTTTGAATGTCGAATATTACTTCGCCTTGCTGTCTTATGGTCTCCTGAGTATGTCTTGCGATGTTGTACAAGATCGACCGTCGACAGCTTTTGCTTCGCAAAGTCGGTTCCTTGTGATGGGAACTCCAGGACATCGAGTCGACAAGCCATACAGACGAATCTTGAATCGAGGTTGCCATGGAATAGATATGTCGTATAACCTATATATACTGAGCCACGTAGCAACATCTCGGGCCATTCCTCGTGATCCCTCATTCATATCACTACTCGTACTTGATCTCTTCTTCTTCCGCTGTAGAAGTAGCAGCAGCGTCGGTGCTGACTCTTGACTGCTCGTCCACAGACTCCAATGGGTCCGAATACCTCGGCCAGCCCTTGCCAGCGGTCGCGAGCACAGCGTTGAAGTCCAGATCTCTGGTGAACCACCTCTCCCTCCGCGTCGTTGCGCGCTGGCCTCCTTCCAAGGCACTCCGTGCGGCACGAGTGGTGCGTGCCCGTTTAGCTTGGCGGCCGTCTGATGTGAGAAGATTGAGTCGGTCGCGCTGTTCTTCGAGCGCTTGGTCGTGCTGGACGATTGAACGGACATAGGGTGCCAGGTCGACAGCGATGGTCTCGAGAGGGCCATCAAAGGTGGATTGTAACATGCCTGGATACGATAGCGAGACCTCTGCTGGTGCCGAGACTGGGTCGAAGCATGCAAAGGCACGACGAGAGAGATTATCGTCGCGAGGATGTGCTTTGAGGTGGGTTGCTTTTGCGATGATTTGGTCCGTGGATGGAGTATGCTGACCGGGCACGTTCAGTGCTCGATTAGCCAGAAGCGTCATGGTCACGAGAAGCTCTGCACTCATGCCGCTGTAGTCGACTGGTTCGTCAGTCTGTAGGAACTGGAGCCCTTCGATGTAGTTGCTGCGGGACTTCTCAGGGAGCTCTGGCTGGGCAGGATCGAGAGGCGCGCTTGCAGGCAGACCGATAGAACAGCTTGAGTCGGCAGCACTCAACGCATCTGCGAATTTGGACATCTGCTTCAGCGACACGTCTACGTTCGAGGTAGTTTCTTCCGGACACGGCACCCAGCCGAGGGCGTCGAGAGGCTCGACGCCAAACTCGTCCCAGACCTGTGACAGAACCTCCTCTGTGGTGGCTGCCGACTTCGATGCCACACCCATTCCCTCTTGGTAGGTGCCGCTGCTGACCACACGTAGTCTTCTACCTTGCTCGTCTAGATCAGATCCTGGTGGCCATCGTTGGTATATCCAGGCCAAACCTTCCCGTGGATCGCCGACACCCATTTGACACCAGAAGTTCAGTGCGGTGATGCTGGCCCGTAGATCATGGCCATGTCGTTCGTACAGCGTCGTTACGGCATTGCGTTGGAGGAGATGGCCCTCAGCAGCGGCAAGAAGCAGCATATAATCAGCGACCAGATCCGTGGCAGGTTGTGTGAATCTCAAAATTGCGTGCAATGACATGACCTGAAGTGGTACCAGGTCTTCGTCGTTGCATGTCATAATGAATGGCCGCTTGGATGTCGTGATGAGCTTGAAAACAGTTGTCCAGAATTCCTTGTCGTCTTTGAAAAGGACGTCGACCTCTTCGAGTAAGATAAGAGACTGCTGTTGGTCCTTCGGTTGTTTTCTTAGAGCGTCCTGAACAACCTTGAGCGTCTTCTCCTTGACCACAGTTTTGGGCTCTTTGGGCTTGGATTTTGGCTTGGTTTGTGGCTTGAAGAACGCACTCATCTTGCCTTGCCTGCCACTGTGAAGGTCCTTTTGGAATGCCTCATCGATGCGATTTGGCTCCTCGGACGATGAAACTTCGGCGGATTCAGTACCATGATGTCTTACCAGGTGGTTCTCGGTCATGTCGCCAACCTTTTCCATGACATCTCTTCCGCTCCGGCGCTCGCTCGAAGAGATCTCAAAGACTTTGTAGCCCATCTCCTTGGCGACGGCATAAGCAGCAGCACTTTTTCCACAACCGTGGGGACCACTCAAGAGTACCGCGTTGTTGAGCTTGGTGCTGTCGTGAACTACCTGGACGATGCTTTTGACGGCTCTCTGGCTGCCTGACGGGCTGATAATGTCGTTGTCCAGAATCTCACTCATCTCGTTGGTCTCCTCGTCGCTGTCGACCAGAAAGTCATCAAGATCGTCGGGTTTCTTCTTTCGTTTCTTCTTTGGCTTTTCTGGAGGTCTCGATGACGGCTGCTTCGACACTGCCGCAGTGGCACCTCCGACAGCCTGAACGGCGAGCGACTTTAGCCAAGCCTTGAGAACTGACACCTCATGCGTGGGCTGCAACACTTCAGCGGCGTTTGCGGGAGCGTACTTGTGAGCCCATGACATGGATTCTCCTCTCAATTCGTCGAAAGCGGCCATACTTTTCGGAATCTGGTCAAACAGCGCTCTGATCGCAGGATGCACAGCTTGCTGAGACGATGTAAGAGAGAGCTCGTCATCTGCCGAAATACCAGGATACACGGAAAGTTGCATTGCCACAGCCTCGGCAATCTCTTCGCCGGAGATCAAAAGGCGTTCGGGAACAGCAAGGTCTTGACTGGGTTCATAGAAACCATCAGATCGCAGCTGACGCTCGCCTTTCGGTCGAAGCTCAGAGGTGAAGCTCGAGAGAAGGGATTCGTCCACAGGAAAGGGCAAGCGTGCTTGCTTGCGCTTTCTTTTGCGATACGACTTGTCGAAACTCAGTTCGGCCATCGGCCGCTGGACCGAATTGTCCTGGGGTCCGCGAACATGAGCCCAATCTCTAGGCGGAAATGGCGCGTCTTTCGCACCGGGATGCTTCACCATTAGCCTGTCCTTCAAGAGCGCGGAGTCGAACATCGGCGCTTCCTTGGATAGATCGAGACGATCTTCATATGCCTGCTTTCGAAGTTTTCCTGGTGTTACAGCAGATGCTTTGCGAGGAGACTCTTTTTTCGACGGTGCTGGAGGGTCTTTCTTCCCTGTAAAGAATGGATGCCTGGCTTTCGGTTTCGGCTTTCGTGGCGTACGTTTCTTGGGCGTGGACTTCGGTGCATCTGCCGCGGTCCTTTCCTCTCCATCCAAGATACGATCGATTCTGGCACCAAAGGCCGTGCGGCTAGCATCATCTTTACCATAGCTTATTTGCACCATGAGATGACCCTTTGAACTAGGTTGAGCAGTCTTCCGCTGTCTGGTACGTTTTTTGGGTTGATCAGGTTCGGGATCAGGATCTTCTTGAAGCTTCACTGTCTTAGACGGAGGTGAGCTGAACTTTCCATTGGCATTGAGTTTCAGCAGCTTCCTTGGAGGGGTCTTGGGGACGAAAGACTCATCTGCTGGACAATCAGATGCTTCGGGCAGAGGCGAGGACGCAGATATAATGACTTGTGGAGAGTATCCGCCCGAATCAGCTCCAGGCCTGGGCGGAGTAACAGGATGTTCTGCGGCCACATCAACAGATTCAGTCTGACTCGTTCGGCGGCGTTTCCTGCGCCCATCGTTGACGTCCGGTTCAGCCGGTTCAGAGGTGCACAGATTGATGACCTCTGGTTCAGATACTTGGGCTGGTTTTGGGTTGACGATTTCTCCCAGCGTCTTCTGACTTTTATTCCTTGTTGCAGGCTGTCCATTCTTCACCTTCTTCCTCTTGCTGTTGGCTTTCTTGGGCTTCTCTTCATAATCGCTCTCTTCGCCATTGGCTGTATCTTGGTATATATGCTCGTCCGTCTCGGGGACGTCTACTTTGGTTTGGTCATTGCCTGCCTTACTCAGCCCTATTAATCATGTGAAGACCTTCAGAGCACTCACCCTTGGGCCGGGTGAAGAATGGATGGATGGCTTTGTCGCCGTCTGCGCTCATGGCAGATATGAGTGTCGCCGCTGCCATTCATCGGATCCTCGCATATCTCTCGATCTCCACGTCGTATGCTCTCGTCGTCGAAGCTGCGGCGCCGTAGTGTGTGAAAGATGGCTTTGAGGTTTGTCGAGTCCGGCGGCTCAAGTCGCGGGTGAGGTTGGATGACGCGCCGCACGCGACTACGCGACTGCCGAAGCTGAGGCGTGGACCGAGCCGCAAACTCTAAACTTTCTCTGAGATCTCCACTGAAATCTTGGAGCACAAGCAAGCTTCACTTTTGCATCTGTCTGGATTGTCGCGTGGCAGCCATGTCGGGAGGAATCGAGGAGCCGTACTCGATCGCAGCACTGCCGAAGCCACTCGATTCTGAGAATGGGAGAATTCTGGGTGCAAATGTGTACAGCCTCTCAGGATCGAAGAAGAGAAAACGGCGAGAAGTCGCTGTAGGCGTCGATGGAGAAAGCGTCAATATCTACAACGTACGTACGAGGAGACATTCGCGGGCATTGGGTGTGCTGACACTCGATAGATCCAAGACCAGACGATTGCGACTTCATACGCTCTCCCGCCACAGTCCTACCTCGCCGCTCCGCCATGCTCGATATACTGCAGGAGAACGAAGCCACAGCAGCCGCAGAGGCAAACATATATTGCTGTCCATGACGGAAGAAATGCGCATAAAGCTCGTCTGGTTAGTATAACGGAGAATCTTGGAAAGCCGCAGAGCGATGAACGAGAACCACGAGCTCCAGCCCGGCGAGAGCGCAAACTCAGAGACGGGAAGGTCGTTTCGGTGGATGTTGTCAGTCCTGGCAGTGACGATGGGTCACAGACCGGTGACAGATCGGTGCTTGTATCATACGACAATGGCAACGTGGACTGCATATCGGCCGACATATCCTCATCCAGATGGGAACACACTAGAGCCGATGAGAGCGATGCTGAGGTAGAGTTTACCGCCGTGGTAGACCTCGACACTGCGCGCAAGGGCCTATTGAAGAACCGCGAAGATGTTGTTGCGCTCCTGGATACGACCAATCTAGGAAAGGAAGGAGACCGTACCCTCCCTCTACTTATCCAAGTCATACACTCCGAAGCACGAAGACTGTTATCTATTTATGCGATCCGAAATGCGACTGGCCAAACTCTACATACCTATCAATCTCCACTGGAGGAAATCCTGAACTACGAGCTGCCCTTCCGCCAGAGACACGGCGCTGACTTTGCCTACTACGAACTCCAAGCTGGCTCTGGTATGCTATACCAGCGACTAGGTAGTCGCTTGAGTGTCGTCGATCTCTCGGGCACTACTCCAAAGCTCTCGTTTGAACTTGGTCGCAAAGGAACGCCAATTGTGAGCAGTTTCACGCGACTGTCGGTGGCCACCGTGCTTGTCGTGTCACCTAGCAAGATTGGCGTATATGATACCAAGTATGGCTCGTTGTTGAGCTCGCTTGACTATCAGAATGCCCAGGAAAGTGGGAGCACCGCAGGGAACCAACTCCTGGACCAGACACACCCTCCGCTTTCGATCGTTACCCAGTTCCAGGATCTCAGCATCGTTGTTGGATTTTCCGGCACGAACATTGTCGCCTGGCAGGTTGGCGACATGCTGGACGATGGCAGACGAGCCAAAGCTCATGGTCCCTTGCTCCTCGAAGTAATGGACAAAGGCAAGGTCACGCATGAAATAACGGGGACCTCACAGAAGCAGGAAAAGAAGCGAAAGAGGTGGGAAGATTGGAAGTCACGAGTGGATCAGTCGATCGGTGACAATGATATCGAAGGTCTTGAGGATATTGTCGTGAAAGATTTCAAGATCAGCACCACTGCACAGACTCCAGAAACACCAAACGGAGATGCCAATGGTCATGCCAACGGCTACTCGCAACACGAAGATGAGGAGTGGGACCTACCGCCGCAAACGTTCGACCCGCAGTACGTGAATCGAGCGAAAGCTGTATACCTTCTGGGAAAGACCTTTCGAATGCGACCATTTGAATCGAACGTGCAGTCCGGCGACTTTCATCTCGAGATTGCAGTGCTCTCGAGAAACATCTTGCGATGGCTTGCGATTGCTGGCTTCCTCAGGGCAGACGAGATCCAGCTCGCGTTAGCCGACGCCACGTCACAATTACACGCCCATCCACAAGTCGCACCAGGTGACGTGATGGCCGCAATTGGCGACGCTGAGCCCAGCCTCAGACTCATGTGTGACCTGGTGTCGCTGCCTGTACACTGGGGCATTGAAGATGTCGTTCGAGGTATACAATTCTTGATACGGACCCTGAACAACCAAGACCCTTCTTCGACGAACAACGAGCCGCTCAAGGCGCTCACGAACGGCGATGTAATCATGAACGATGGCGACCTGGAGTCTGAGATAGCTGCAACAATTACGCAGGTGGACGAAACTCAAATGCTCATGGAATCTGGCCTCGAAGTGCGTAGTGAGGTGTGTCGCCTACTTCTGGCACGCCTGCAGTCGTTCCCGCACAAGTCCGTTGTACAAACGATGCATCACATGATGACCGACGACGATATCATGTTCTTCATCGTCATTCTGCGCTCTGAGCTCGTCAATGGCGGATGGACGCAGAAGTACATTGAACAGAGCAGCGACGAAGAGGACACCTTTGCGGACCTAGCCAATGCCCAGGAGGTCACTTCCAACAGTCAAACTATTCGGACACTTGCAAACCTATCCAGTTGCGCCATCGATGCCATTGGGCTTAGTGGATGGGTGGTTGGCCGCAAAGCGAATGCAGAACACGCACTGCACTTCATCGAGACCTTCAAAAATGAAGTTTCAGTGGCACTTGAAGGGCTCTTCCAAGTGGAAAGCCTCAACACCATGCTCGGAGACGTCAAGAGAACGGCTGGCGGCCTCCAGCAACAGCCTCGTCGCAAGCGGAAGCGGCACGACGAAGATCTGCAGAGTCCGGAGCGGACTTGGATGCCTGTTGGAGGGAGAGCAGAGCCTCCGGTCGTCAATACGTGGACCACCAAGACGGGCAGAAAGAGCAAAGCTGCCATCGCGGAGGAGAAGAACAGGAACGTGGGCAAGTACTCTTTTGAGAGGATCAGGATATGATGGATGGAGAACTGTCTCTGTCGATGTTCTCATGACTCGCCTTCGTCTCATCGATTGCCACCTTCAAAACAGACCTACTTTCCGTACCTCCAACACACGTCTCAGATCCATCGTGGTACCGCTGCTCTACCTGCCTGACCAGGCCGCCGTACGAGACATTCGTTAGAGTTTATTCACGAGCTAGCGCTTGAAAAACTAGCGCAACCATTGACGTCGACTGAAACTCTATCAGCTGTACTTCCAAGCTTCATCTCGTACAACTTCCCATCCTTTCTTGCACCTTCACTGCTTCCAAATGGCCACCAGGGAGAAGAAGGAAAGCAAGAAGCGAGCACAAAGCCAGCCAAGCCCAGTTATCTCGATAACACAAATCGCAAACCCGGAAACCTTGCACGTGGGACGCCGTGCCCAGCCTCGTCGTGCATGCATCCGTTGCCAAGCAGCTAAGCCGGCTGCAACATCCTTGGACGACGATGCGGGCACCACCTCGTCTCGTCTCTCTGCTTTTCCAGCCTCACCCGGACATGTCTCTCGATCTGTTGGCTTTTCGCTCGAATCAGTGCGGCTGGGGGTTCCCACGTGTTGGGAGCTAAGCATGCAGGAACAGGTGGGAGCTTTTTCTCGGCGATGGAGCTCTTGTTTGCTTAAAGAGGCCGTCGCCGGGGAGGGGTGAGTGTGTTCTCGTACAGTCTTTTTTGTTGCTGTTGGAGGCGAGAGCAGTCGTTTCTCACTTCTTTCCTTCTACTCTCGTTATCGAAGGAAGCCGAAAGAGTCGGATCTGCCACAATGTACTTCACCCAGCTCGCAGCAGCTTCCCTGGCCATTGGCCTCACGACAGCCGCGCCGGCGCCAACAGCACAATGGGGCGGGAACTGGGGCAACTGGGGCAATTGGGGACATCATGGTAAACCACCTGGCAAGCCACCAGGTGGTGGTGCCCCAACACCAAAGATCAATGTGCAGCTTGGTCCTAGGCCTTACTATCTGGTGGATAACATGGACGAGGGTCCTTTGAAGAAGAAGCTGGAGAGCTGTAAAGAGGAGCCGAAGAGCACGAGCAGCTTTTCGATCTCGCATCGTGGAGCGCCGTTGATGTTTCCGGAGCATTCGAAGCAGGGTTATGATGCTGCGGCGAGGATGGGTGCTGGTGAGATTGGCGAAGTGATGTTGAAAGAAGACGGAGAAGCTAATATGTCTTCATAGGAATCATCGAGTGCGACGTCTCTTTTACCTCCGACCGCGAGTTGGTCTGCCGCCACTCCAACTGCGACCTCCACTACACCACCGACATCCTCGCCCACCCAGACCTCGCAGCCAAATGTACCGAGCCCTTCACACCCGCCAACCCTGAGAATGGGACTGCTGCTAGCGCAAAGTGCTGCACAAGTGATATCACTCTTGCTGAGTTCAAGTCCCTCTGCGCAGAGATGGAGGCTACGACGTTGAATGCTTTGAGCATCAACCAGTCCACGCCGTACTTTGGGAGAATTGGCATTACACCAGATTGGAGGACGAACATGTATGCGTACTCGTGCGCGGAGCCCATGTCCTTGAAGGATCAGATCCAGCTCGTTGAGGGATATGGATTGAACTTCACTGCTGAGGCGAAGGTAAGCAAAAAGCGTCTGATACAGATAGAACAAACATGCTAACACATTTCGCCTTTCCAGACCCCCGAAATCCCCATGCCCTTCCAAGGAGACTACACCCAAGAAGACTTTGCCCAACAAATAGTCGACACTTTCAAAAACTACTCCATCGCCGCCAACCGCGTCTGGCTGCAATCGTTCCTCCCCGACGACATCTTCTACTGGATCGCCAACGACCCAGCCTTCGGCGAACAAGCCGTCTACCTCGACGAACGCGCCGACCTCTCCACCGACGGCTACCAAACCGCCGTCGACTCCCTCCCCGACCTCGCCGCGCGCGGCGTCAAGATCATCGCCCCATCGATCTGGCAGCTCATCACGGCCGACAACGCCACGGGCCAGATCGTGCCGAGCAGCTACGCCGTCGCGGCGCAGAAAGCCGGACTGGAGATCATCACGTGGAGTTTTGAGCGCTCTGGGCCGTTGGAGGTTGAGGGTGGAGGGTATTATTATGAGAGTGTGGCGAATCTCATCAATAATGACGGGGATGAGTATACCGTTATTGATGTGATTGCGCAGAAGGTGGGCGCGACGAAGATTTTTGCGGATTGGGTGGGGACGGTTACGTATTATGCGAATTGTTTTGGGTTGGTTTGAGGGTCTTGCGTGGATGGAGTGTGATGAGAAAAGAAATGTAGACGGCCCTTCGATATGAGTAGAACAGATGAGTAGAATACGATAGATGACTTGTTGGAACTCAGGTCATGACTGGCAGTTGATGAGATCGCTCTAAGAGTTGGAGCTGATGTTGCAAACTGCTGGATCGTCGAGACCTCTGGGGATTCCTCTATTATCGGGTCTCACTCGGGTATCTTGGATGATCAGCGTGCAGTGGTGTTGTAGACGGAGCTAAATGGGAGGCGTAATTGCTTAGGAGTTTGCACAGCTGGAACGGGCATGTGAAAGGTGAAATGGAAGCTCGGGCCATCAATGAAGTCGTCACTGCTGTCCCGCGAGCTTATCGAGCACCTCCCACCAGAAACATTCACTCACCCTTTCGACTCTTCGTACTAGCGCAGCATAATTGCAGTGCAAGCTGCATTTGGAATTCACTCGCCATAGCAACATCACATGAAGGAATCGCCTGGCGTCCCATCGACGTCAGCAAGCACCCATCAGCAAGACCGCAAGCGCAAACGTCCCAGTCGACAATCGACGGCAGACCAGAAGTCGTCCCAGCAGACATTGCAGTCTCTTTATTCCTCCCATCACAAACCTCACAGTGCCGCCGCCTGTTCCACATCGCCGTCCCACAAACGCCCCAAACCCGGCGACTCGTCCGCCCCGCCTACCACGCCGCCACCGAATAGCCTTGCCATGGCTGACATGTACTCGTTCGGCTCGAGGTCGCCTTCGGCAGCGAGCAACGGCGTCATCGATCTCACGAATGGCTCGTCGCCTGCTACGCCTCGCCGCGTCAACGGCAGCGTGAAGTCCGGCATCAGCCCCCACACTGGAGCGAAGAAGCTGGTTGTCAAGAACCTCAAGACCAATACGAGCTGGGATAGCAAAGCATACCTCGAGAAGATCTGGGGGCAGCTTGATGAGGCTCTGGCTTTGATCTTTAAGGATGGTCAGCAGGGGTTCAGTAAAGAGGATTTGTACCGCGGTGTGGAGAATGTGTGCCGACAAGGTGGTGCTTCAACGTTGTTCTCGAGATTGGAGTCGAGATGCAAGAGCCATGTTGAACGGGATATGCGGGAACCCCTGGTGGAGAAAGCTGGCCAGGAAGATGTGACTGTACTGAAGGCTGTGTTGGCCGAGTGGGCGAGATGGAAGAAACAGATGGCTGTCATCCGGGCGATATTCTTCTTCTTGGATCGCAGCTATTTGCTTTCTTCCAGTAAGCCTACACTGGATCAATTCACACCACAGCTGTTCCGGTCGGTGGTCTTCAGCCACGAGGCATTGAAGTCGAAGATCGTGGATGGTGCGTGTACGCTGGTTGCTGGGGACCGAACCTCGACAGCTCCTCTGGATAAGGATCTTTATCAACAAGCCATTGATATGTTTCACGACCTTGGGACATATACATCGTCATTCGAGCCTCGTTTCTTGGCTTTGTCACAGGATTACGTTTCCGAGTGGTCAGAACAGATGATTACGGAGAAGAGCGTACCGGAGTATGTTGCTTTGGCGAATGGATTGATTGCCAAGGAGATGGAGAGATGCGAAGAGTTCAAGATGGACAGCAGTACAAGACGAGAGCTGCTATCGTTGCTGGAAGACCATCTCATCGTGCGCAAAGAAGCCGACCTGACCGACTATGACGCTCTTTCCTCGCTCCTCGAAAACCATGCGGTGACTGACCTGCAATTGCTGTACGCGTTGTTGGCTAGAAGAGATCTTGGAGCCAAGTTAAGGCCTTCATTCGAGAAGTGGGTCGACAAGACTGGTACCGACATAGTACTCGGCAAAGAGTCTGACGACATGATCATAAATCTGCTGTCCCTCAAGAGGTCACTCGACCAGATATGGAACACCTCATTCCAAAGAGATGAGAGTCTCGGACATGGCCTGCGCGAGAGCTTCGAGACTTTCATCAACAAGACGAAGAAGGGCGACGCAACTTGGGGAACTGACAATACCAAAGTAGGTGAGATGATTGCGAAGTACGTCGATCAACTTCTTCGTGGTGGCGTCAAGGCAATTCCAGAGGTACTTACCGCGAGGAGGTCTTCGAGCATCACTGCTGTCCCCGGAAAGCAGCCCGAGGCAGCGGTTGAGGACAATGAAGAGATGGAAGTCGACGAGGATGCAGAAGTCAACATACAGCTCGACCAAGTGCTTGATCTATTCCGCTTCGTCCACGGCAAGGCAGTCTTCGAAGCTTTCTACAAGAAGGATCTTGCTCGACGGTTACTCATGGGACGAAGCGCTTCTGCCGATGCCGAGCGAAGTATGTTGGCACGCCTCAAGACTGAGTGTGGTAGTGGATTCACTCAGAACCTGGAGCAGATGTTCAAGGATATCGAGCTGGCTCGGGAAGAAATGCAATCGTACAAGCAGCGACTTGAAGATCGTCTTGGTTTCGAGAAGGGCAAGCATTTGGATTTGAACGTCAATATCTTGTCTTCGGCGGCCTGGCCGACGTACCCAGATATCCCCGTCATCATCCCTGCGAATGTCAAGCGCGCGATAGATGATTTCGAGTTGCATTACAAGAGCAAGCATACCGGCCGCAAACTAGATTGGAAGCATGCGTTGGCTCACTGTCAAATGAGGGCCACATTCAACAAGGGCAGCAAGGAATTGGTGGTGTCGAGTTTCCAAGCTGTGGTGCTGTTGTTGTTTCATGGTCTGAAGGATGACGAACACCTGACCTATGCCCACATCTTGTCAGAGACTGGACTGCGTAAGTACTACCTGTCTTATCCAATATACAAAACTGACTATTCACAGCCGAACCTGAGGTCAAACGTACCCTTCAGTCCCTGGCCTGTGCCAAACTACGTCCTCTCACAAAACACCCCAAGGGCAAAGACATCAACGAAACCGACACTTTCACCATCAACGGAAACTTCGAGCATCCGAAATACCGCGTCAAGATCAACCAAGTGCAGCTCAAGGAGACCAAGGAAGAGAACAAGGAAACGCACATGCGTGTCGCAGAGGACCGCAACTTCGAATGTCAAGCGGCGATTGTGCGGATTCTCAAGAGCCGCAAGACGATCTCACATCAGGAACTTGTCAGCGAAGTCATCAAGGCGACTATGAGTAGGGGTGTCTTGGCGGTCAGTGATATCAAGAAGAATATTGATCGCTTGATTGAGAAGGATTATATGGAGAGAGAAGAGGGGAATATGTACTCTTACGTTGCATAAGGGTGAAGCACTTCCCCAATGATAAGAGGCTTCAGGCGAATCACAGGCGCTGGATAGAACGTAGAGAAGATGGAAGCACGGAGACATTCATTCATGCAGCTGGTGGATTCCTTCAATTACGAAGAATATGTCAACAAGGATACTGTGAGTCGTTTGCCTCCTTTCTTTTCAGCTCTTCACGATCCAGTTTGCTTGCTGTTTTGCTTGCCTCGAACCAGAAGATCCCACCAGACCAACACAATTAGGCTATAAAAGTACCGATCGTGCCACCATGGATAGCGCAACAGGACAGAAGCGCACTCAGACAAAATGTCCAATCAGAATAGCAACGCCCCCAACGATCATTAAGAAACGATAGCAGAAGAGCAGCTCGGGATCCTCTCGCCTCTAGGCACGAGAAAGAACCGCCCCGGGAGCATTTCAAGCCAGCTGAGTTCGCCTCTGGACGGATGTCGCGATGAAGAGGAAGAGAAGGCTTCGAAGGCGTTTTGGCGAGAGAAATGGGAGAAGTGGGAGGAGCGTGCTGGGGCTGAGGCAGACGAAGGAGAGGGTCAGGGTGGATCGAGGAAAGTTGTGGATGGGTTGGATTTGGGCGAGTTGAGCATTGCGCAGGAAGAAGTCCAACCCCAACGCGGACCGCAGAGTTCTACAGTCGGAGAGCATGATACCCGCGCCGCTGCTTTCGATGGCAGTTCTCACGGAGCGGCTGCCACGACGACGAACTTCCTCCAACTAACGCCCGAACGCCCAGCGCACACGAAGAACGCCTCAACGACGACGACGACTGAAGAGGAGATCATCGATTCCTATGCCGAGTCCGACGCGGTGTTGAATAGTGCGATCCTCTATTCCGCGCGCGCGAAACTCTCCCTCGCTCTTGTCTTGCGCGAGAAACTCCATGACGAGGAGATTTCTTCTGAGCTTACTGGTAATATCAAGGGCATCACGTCTGATTTGGAGGATATGAGGACGGCTGTGGAGGGCGCGCGGCAGCAGGTTGATGGGGAGAGGGCGGGGGTTGTGAGGGGGTTGTTGAGGCGGATGAGGGTGGAGGTGAAGAGGGAGATTTGGCGGGAGGGGAAGGCGAAGGTTAGGGGTGGGTGAGTGGGTGCGAGGAGGTGGAGAAGGGGGCACGGAGGGGAGATTGCGTGGACAAGGGAAAAGGGAAGCGGGAAGAGAGTTATGGGTCTCAGTAAGTAGAGGACAGGGCCTTGCCATCGTCGCATTGCCATCTCGTCAGGTCGCACCGCCAAAGACCTCATCCCTCATTCCCGCAAGAACAGTCTGATACCGCTCTCTCGTGCCATCGTCTGCCATGAAAAGCTTCACTTTCTCCACAGACGTACGTCTACTGACATTCTTCGCCTTCGCAACCTCATTGACGAACCACCTCGCCTCGGCATGCGTATACAACGTCCAAGCATCACCCTCCCGACCAGCTCTGGCAGTCCTGCCCACACGGTGCACGTAGCTCGTGAGAGTGCGAGGGACATCGTACTGGATGACGTGGGTGATGGGTCGGTTGTTGAAGGAATCCAACCCACGAGCGGCTCGGTCTGTTGAGATGGCGATTGCGGCTTCGTCTGCCTTGGAGCGGATGCGGGCTTTGCCTGGGTTGGCCTTGACGAGGGTGGTGATTTGGTGTTTCCATGAGGGCTGCAGGTTTTGGAGCAGGTGGGAGAGACGAGCCGCGGACTCGTTGCTGGAGGTGAAGATGAGCACTGTGGGGGCGCGAGGTGGCTGCGTGCTTGACTCGGTGGGTTCCTTGAGGAGAGTGCGGTCTGGAACTGGCGATTGTTGGTGTTGCTGCGCGGCGGAGTCGTCATCGTCTTCAGATTCTTCAGATTCTTCAGATTCTGAAGCAGAGCTTGAGGAGTCGCTGTCGTCGGACGACAAACTCGAGCTATCGTCGGAATCAGAGTCTTCAGAGTCGGAATCGGAGTCAGAATCAGAGCTTTCAGCCTTGTCTCCAGCATTGTCCTTTTCCAACCCCTTCACATCGTGCTCGTGGCTATTGCCAAAGATCCTGGACTTGAGCAGCTCCACGGCCACGAGAGGCTTCTCAGTTCCGTCTCCGACCGGCACACAGTACTCAACTAGAGTGGGCGGAAGTTCGAACCCATCAGCGCTTTCTTTGACACTACTCTCACCATGTGCGCCTTCCTCAGCTTGACCTTCATTGCTGTCGCCACCGCGAACAACGATCATCTTGGGACGCCGGAGATTGAGTGACGTAAGCTTCGAGATGTCTCTTGTCATGGTGGCGGACAAAACGACCTTCCTCAATCGTCGCTCCTTGTGCTCTTGCCAAAAGCTCTGCGAGCGCAAGTATTTCTCCCGTGCATCGCGTTCTTCATCGCTTCTTGATCTTGTGAGCTCCGCATTCAGAGATTCAAGAAAACCTTCGTTCTGGTTGTCCAGCAACTTGTCAGCCTCATCAAGGACCAACCACTGCAAGTGGACAAGGTTGAAACCAAGAGTGTTGTGAATGTGCTCCAGAAGTCGTCCAGGAGTGGCAACTAAAATGTCGACCGCAGAACTATACTTCGGAACGTGATCGACAAGTCCACTCACTGCCTCTTGTATCCACTGTTGCCGCTTCTTGTCTTCTTGCCCGCTTTGGTCAAGGTAGAATTCGAATTCCTCAGCATCTTCATCAGGGGGATGTATCTGGGCCTTTGCCTCGTCCACAAGCTGCTTGTAGCCGGCAGGGTCATACTGTGCACTGCGAGTGATGATCTTTTCTTGCTCATCCTTGAACTTGCCTGTGCCTGTGGCCATTCCGACCTTAATGGAGCTTCCTTTGACTAAGCTTTCTGCGACGGCTGCCACCTGCATTACCAGTTCTCGGGTTGGAACAACGACCAATGCACTTAGCTTTCCACGCTGACGTTGGTACCGTAGCGCTTGGACCATGGGCAGAAGATAGGCGATCGTCTTGCCGCTCCCGGTTGGCGCGCTGACCGCCACATCTGGAAGCACATGATCTGTCCCGGGCGGATGAATAGCACCTGGAATGCCTGGCGGTAAGAGCACGGGCGCCAAAGCCTGCTGCACTGGCAAAGCTTCTGCAAATCCAAGCTTCGTAAGACGATCAGCTGTTGCTGCCTCGATATTCAGGTCTCTAAATGTCGCCTTTTTATGTCCAGAAATCATCGTGGGCTTTGCGAGCCATGCTGGTAGAGCTGCGTCTTCAGACTCGAACTCGGGTGTGGGCGTTCTCTCTGGTGGTGGTACCTCCAGGTTTTGAACCACCTGCTGCTCGGCCAACTTCTCGAAGGATTCTTCTTGCTGATGCCGTATTGCTCGCTGTGCTGACTTTTGGAATTTCCCCAGAACCAATGTATGTTTTCGGAGGTGTTCGTCGTCTTCAGCATTCGGGTCCTTCGTGTCAGATGCTTCAAGGACATGTTCTAGCTTATGTCGTCGTTTCTTCGCCTTGGGAGTCTCTTCAGAAGGATTTTCTGATATTGTGGTTGCGTCTACAAGTTCGAGATCCTGGCCATCCGTAGCACCGGGGTCTTGTTGTTCCTGGGCTTCATACGCTTTGTCTTCTTTCCGGCGCTTCTTACGTTTCGCCTTGCCTTCCGTCTCGTTTGCTGCAAGATCTTCGCCACCATGGGAAAGCTGTTTGCCAGTTTCGAGTACAGACTCTACTCCGTTGGCAACGACTCGCGACTCGTTGCTTGGATGTTCATCATCGACCGATGAAGGAATCTTTTGCGCTCCCACAAGCTCTTCACCGGCCCCGTTGCCCTTCTCCGCCGCTTTTCGTGCCTTCCTGGCTTCTTTCTCTAATTTGTGGCGCTTCTTCATCGGCAGGCGCTGCTCTTGACTTGTTTCAACCACTCCAGTCTGCGCTCCTGACAGGCTAGCATCCTGACTCTTGATGGTATTCTGATCGACGATTCTCTCAACAAAGACAGTCTCGGGATCGATGCCCTTCTTCTTCAGCTTCTTAGCTTTCCTCTCTAAGACCTCTTCTTGCGTTCGCTCTCGCTTGCGTTTGTTTTCTGCTGTGGTCGTCGCAGGCTCGGTCGCACCAACATCGACAGGCTTTATCGGCGTCGTCGGCTTCTCTGTACTTGATTTGGCGGGTATGTACCGCTTGTATAGCGGAGCCATGTTGTAGGCATTGAGCACCAAGATTTGCATGTGAATCTTTAGATTTGGTAGCGGAGTTCGGCAGATCGGAAGAAGAAGCGGCGCGGGCCGACGCTAGTGTTTCCGCTCCACGCGTTCTCCTGGATGCAACCGCGACCTCACTTCCCAAAACATCATGAGACTCAGCATCCGGGACTTTGAAAGGACTCCCAATTGACTGAGATGAGCAAGACGAGCAACCACAGACTTTGGCTGGATCGATAGCCCGTCATCGACAAAAGCCTACTCCGGACACCCACTCACTTGGGTGAGGTGCCAAGATGCCTTACAACATTGCGTACGTCCCGAACTTATACATCATCTCGGCTGAGAGAAAATGGTGAGCGCGTGATTGGCCACTCAGCTGAAGCTTTATAGCATGATATCGGATTTCTTCTATCCACAGCCAGGAGGCGTCGAAAGCCACATCTATCACGTTGCAACTGTAGGTTCTAAAATCGAATATCTAGGATACCGTGTGTCGAAGTATAGATCCGATCACTGACTTTTCTTTAGAAGTTGATCGATCGCGGTCACAGGGTGATCATTATCACTCACGCATATGGCTCTCCATACCCAAGTCGAACCGGCGTACGATACTTGACCAATGGGCTGAAGGTCTACCATATTCCGCACTGGGTGGTTTACCGGTCTGCTACGTTTCCCACTGTGTTCTCGTCCTTTCCGATACTTCGACAGATTTTCATTCGGGAACAGATCCAAATCGTACATGGCCACGCATCGCTCAGCAACTTGTGCCACGAAGGCCTCTTGCACGCGAGAACCATGAGTCTACAGACTGTCTTCACTGATCACAGTTTGTTCGGGTTCGGTGATGCGGCGAGCATTATGGCCAATAAGTTGTTGAAGTTCAGCTTGAGTGATGTTGGACATGTTATTTGCGTCAGCCATACCTGGTACTGTCATCCCAATGATTTGCAGAGTCTCTGCTGATGTCAATACAGCAAGGAGAACACCACCTTGAGAGCCTCACTCAACCCACTGGCCGTCTCTGTGATTCCGAATGCAGTGGTTCCGAGCAATTTTCGACCGCTGCAACCACAAGAAGCCAAGGTACTGGCGCAGAGTGACAGAAGTGCTCTTCTGCCACCTCCGCCAGATCCGAGCAAACCTGTGGGACCTGGCGACCCTATCACCATAGTGGTGATATCGCGATTGTTCTACAACAAAGGAACAGATCTTCTCATATCTGCTTTGCCGCTGCTGTTGCGAAGACATGAGAATCTACGCTTTATAATAGCAGGCAGTGGCCCCCAAGCGATTGACCTGGAACAGACTTTGGACTCACTTCCGCAACAGCTAGTCTACACTCCATCTGGGCAGAGCCGTGTTGTTCTGCTCGGCAGCATTCGTCACGAGGAAGTGAGAGATGTCATGGTCCGAGGGCATCTGCTTCTGTCAACCTCGCTTACAGAAGCATTCGGCACTGTACTTGTCGAAGCGGCAAGTTGTGGACTAATGACAGTCGCCACTCGAGTCGGTGGAGTCCCAGAAGTACTACCCGGCAACATGATCGTCTTCGTGTTGCCAGAAGTCGAAGACGTTGTGCGAGGCGTCACAGAAGCAGTGGGCTTGCTTACCAACAAGACGGTGCGGAGAGATAAGTTCCATGACCTGGTCAAGAACATGTATTCCTGGTCCGACATTGCACGACGAACGGAGCGTGTGTACGACTTGATCACCGGCAGTCCTCCGGCCCTCGACAACGAAGGCTTCTACGATGAGCAGTGGATGCACTATGGGCAACCTGCACATAGTCCATCTTTCTCTCTGATGGACCGGCTAAAACGCTACTTTGGCTGCGGAGTCTGGGCTGGAAAACTCTTCGTCATTGTTGTTGTGGTGGACTACTTGATCTACTGCTTTCTGGAGATCATGTATCCCAGAGAGAAGATCGACATTTGCAAAACATGGCCAGCTTCGAAGGCTAGGGACAGCTTCGATGAAGGTCTGTCTAACGGGTATGGCGCTCACGGCATCGCCAAACAACGATCTCGGCGAAGAAAAGATGACATATACAACGAGACCGGTTGAGGGTGCGTATGCTCTCGATTTACTCTAAATACCACCGGAAAAGGTGCATTTAACAGACCCTGACCCATCGGCTCCATTCGGCTTCGTAAGCCGAGCCCTGATGGGATCACCTCCAACTTCAGCTCAGCGATTTTCCCACAGCGAAGGCCTTGTCAAGTCCATCGCAGCGCAAGACTGACAAGAGTGTTCATACCGATTCCAGTGAACGCCGTTTGCCCAAGTCACCAAGTGTCACCGCAGCTCCTCAGCCAGGGGGGCAGAGCATCATACCCACCTTACGACCTGTGACACCTTACGCAGCCGAGAAGGGTGGTCTTCGTCATCGAGACCTGATGGAAACAAGCGCCGGGCAACCCAGGACGATGGGATCCCTGGATATCCTTGCAAATGCGATGACAACTTCTGCCGCCGAGACTGGAGGGGAAGGCGAAGTCGAGGCCTCGGTACCTGCGAGATTATCATCACGAAGTACAGAGACGGCCGAGAAGAGTAAATCTACGAGCGAGTACCTTGAGCAACTTACTCTTGGCATCATCGATGGGGTCAATTCTCGCCAATTCGAGGCGCACCCATCGTATGCCAACTTCTCGCCGCACTGGAGGGCTCAAAGCAACGATCAGCCGATCTCATATCCCTTGGATCAGCATTTTCAAATCGCACGGCAACTTACGGTGGACAATCCGGACCTCTTCATACGGGTCGTCAACACGACCGTGGTGATGGGCTATCGGGACCTTTGTGCGGATGTCTACATGGACATGGAGCACCGTGGGTATCCACCTGGGTTGGTGAGAACGTGCATTGGCGTTTTCCACTGGAAAGTTTTCGACGAGGACGGAGAAAAGAAGTGGCTCTGTACGAAGCACACCGGCGCGAGAGGCATGACTGGAATCGAGCCGCTGCGAGAGTGTGATGCGCTGGACGATACTGTAGGTTGGAGAGGTTGAATATTGATGCGGGAAATGCGACGATATAATGAAAAGAGAAGCGCAGCCGGCAAATGACTGCGGGTTGGGCGGACCTAACTTCGCCGAGAGCCTTCCAGCGACAGAGAGGGATTTCTCTTGCTGTCAATTTTCACGGAGATGATGATGCTGCACCATGCGAAGGCCTTGTAGACTCAAGGCCACGTCTACCTGCAATGGACCAGGGCTTTCCAAAGAGAACGACGCCCTGCAGCTCTCGAAAACCTGACAGTACACCTCCCTACTCTGCGGGGTCCCGTTCCTCAAGACTTAGGAAGAGAACATGAAATCAATGCATAGACCTCCTCCCCAGCAACCTGCGAGGAGCTTCACATCAGTAAGCACCGAACGACCCGAGAATGCAACACTGTAAGGCTCCAGCTTGAACCGCGTCAATCGCTGCTTGTAACACTACTACACTTAGCTTCGAACGGCGGAACCGCAGAGGCAAATGCTTGTGAGGAACAAGCTGTGCACGTTTGCTTGGGAATGTTGGCCAGCAATTACAAGTTTCGAGGCCGCTCAGACAAGACAGACTGCAAGTTTCGATCATAAAATCCAGCGGGCGGACAAGGCACAACCTTGGCAAGCCTTAGGTGCAATTCAGCCTTACGCCCAGCGTCAGAAGCATGTGCGAATTTTGAGGTCAGCATGTTCAGCTGTCGAGATTCACAGGCGAATTCAGCTACGAAAGTGCGACAGCGCATCTTGTGAATTTAGATGCTAAACAAATCATAAGCTTCGACATTCGCGCTTTAACTAAAAAGGATGTGCATTAGGTTAGCATATTCAGCTGTCGAGACTTACAGGTACGTCTAGCTATAAAGCTGCGAAAGCGTATTATATAGATTCAGATGCTAGACAAACTACAAGCTTCGACACTCGCGCGTTAATAAACAAGCATTTGCGAATGCTAGTGTATGTCAGATGTTAACATTCACTTGCAAAACAGCCATTCAGCTGCTAGCGCGGCTTAGCGGCTTAGCTGCGCCTCGCGGGAACGGCAGTAGACGTTGTCGCGAGTATTTAGGAATTGGTTCTTCCAGCATTGGTTCTTCTTCTCTGCAACAACACCCATCTACTTGTTGGTCTGCTGGGCCTTGTCGACAATGGTGGTACGTACCATCTCGGGCCATTGGTGTGGTATGTTCAAGTGCAGCCTTGGGACCGTTAACGCTGACAAGACCACAGCCTTGCCACTGCGGTCGACACTTGGGCGTTGCAGAGCCTTGGCCTGCGGAGCAGTGGTTGGGAAGGGCTCGGCTCGACTGCGTGGCGCCCGTGGTCTCTGGACGCAGCCTTGCCGCCTGGGCTGCAGCCGGTATGTGTTTTCTTGTTGATTATTGACGGCGACAAGGCTGACATCCCCAAAAGGAGCCAATGCAACGGCAAGTCGAGCCCCGCCAGCGGCGATACTTGCCTGGACGTCCGTCTGAAAGTGTGACTTCGTTCTCTAGAGCGATACTCGGGGTGTGCTACGGTAAAAGAGGTGAGACCCCGAACATTCACTTACTCCCGCTTCCAGAACTCCGAAGATTAGCCACCGTTTGCCGGGTTGGCAGGGCAACCCAGAAATTTGCTCACCCACCTTCGATGCACTTCCGCCGAAATTCTCCTCCTCTCCTCCGCGACCTTCACGAACTCCTCCACCACCTTCACGCTCATCGCAACGCCATTTCAGAAACAGACATCAACTGTCCGCTTGCTGAAGTGTTGCAAAAGAGAAGGGATTACGGAGCTTCTACACACATCGCCTTTCACATACGCCACACACACGCACATACACACTCTGTCTTCGGAAATCACAGACATACATTAAGCCTACAATGGCAAACATGACAGGTAAGGAGAAAGTATCTTCCACTTTGAGTGGTTTCTTTGGCGGCGAGGAGGATTTCTTTTGCGGATTGTTGGAGGAAAATGGAAATGACATATCGAATACCTCACCGAGCAGTGTTAAACCTCAGCCAGCACTCTCGCAAGTCGTTCGCAGATACGGACACCTGAACGAGGGCACGCAGTGTATGTCAGCCCCTTTCACGCTGGTAGTGCAGGACACTGACACACCAAGCCATTCCAACCGCGGACAAGTCTGCGTTCAAGCGTCGCTACATCGCCCGACGCTCTCTCGCAGACCTCGCCGGTCTCCCAGAAGGCTTCGAGTTCCAGCACCGCCTCGATGAGCAACACCCCCGAGCCGTCATCCTCCTCACACCGCCAAATATGGTTGCTGTTTGCAACGGCAATGGCCTGTGGGAGCGCCGCCTCCGCCAGATGCAAGATGGCCCGCCGCCGTACACCCCAGAGTGGTACCGGGCATACCTTCGCGACAGCAACTTACCAGCGTGGTTCCTGACGACTGGTCACATCGACATGCTCACCAACGACATCGAAGCTCAGCTTCTTGGCGTTGCTGATACTGAGTTGCCCCCAGCTCGCCAGGTCCCTGCTAGCTATCTGGCGGTGCGATACCCGACATTCCCTCAATTCCCTAAGCTCGTGGGCGTTGGCCATTTCCAACCGTACCAGTACCCTCTCACTGATCACGAGCGACTGTGTGTGGCTCGACAGTTCCCAGCGACCAACTTGCTTGGTGCCGACACTCGCATCCTGATCTTGCCAGGAGCCTACATCCAAATCCATTACGACCCATCAAGCACAGGTTGCCCAGTCCTCAACAGCAACAACCTTCGCTGGTCTCGTGCTGCTGCATCTCGTGCTTCCTACATCAACAAGAAGGCTGACACGGTCTCGCTCTCCGACATCCTCAGTCCAAGCGTGGACAATCGGAGCGGTCTCGCCGCAATGAAGAGCAACAACGGAGGATTTGTCAACCCATCGGAGCGTCTGTCAGGCCTTGGCGCTTGGGAGTGGCTCGATGCCGATGTTGACATACCAGCGGCTCAAGTTCTCGGATTTCAGCAGCCCTCAGACGTCGCTGTCGCCGTTCAGCGTGGCCACTTGCGCACCGGCCGTGCAGAATATGACGCACCATCTGTTGTCTGGCAGCCAGACATGCGGTACTTCAACCCAGACGTCGAGCCAGCTGAGCCAGGCATCTGGGAGTTCTTGAGCGATGCAGCTCGCGAGAAGGCTCGGGACGATCTTGGTGGTCAAGATGCATTCGGACTCGCTGACTCGCCTGATCCCAATGCATACGAGATCTGGCAGATTCGTCAGTATTTCAAGCTCTTCTCAGCAGATAGCGGCAGCCAGCACGATCCCACCGCAGAGATCGACCTGGTCTGGATCCTCGCGGGCCCCGGCGAGGCAGCTGAAGTGCAGGTCGCTGGCCCCGTTGTAGCCGGCGCTCAGGAGGAGCCAACGGCGCCCACCCCCCAGATTCAGCCAGTCATCCCTGGCGAAGTAGATGCCAGCCATGGCTTCGACAACACTACTGGCCTCGCGCACGAGCCGTTGAATCATGGGGAGAACAACCAGACTGCCAGCGACGGGAGGGGATCGTACTCGACCCGCCTGATCAACGGCAAGAAGATCACCCTCGACCGGGCTCGGGCCCATCCCATCCTGGGCGCCTCCACGCCGCAGCTCCATCGTCTGTGGACGTATACCAACTGCGGCAAGTGGCAGCGCTATCCCGAGACGGGAGGCAAGATCGACTGGGCGGACAAGGTGAGCGTGGAGAAGCTCAACAAGTGGCGCCAGCAGTCCGAGAAGCGCAACCAGTGGGCTCCCAAGCGGGTCCTGCCCCGCGAGCAGTACACGCAGGAGCAGCGCGCCTGGGTCTTCGGCTTTGTGGAGGAGAATGGCGGTGGGAGGCCGCGTCAGGGCGGCGCTGAACTGTGTAGGCAGTTCAACGAGAAGTTTGGCGCTCAGCGCCAGCAGAAGGCGATCGAGGGGTTTGTGGATCGCATGATGAAGGAGTACAAGGCGAATGGGGGGAAGATGAAGACGAAGGCGGAGAGAGCGCCGAAGAAGCGCAAGACGAAGGCGGAGCAGGCGAAGGCGGAGCACGAGGAGGAGGATGAGGACGCTCCACATGAGAGCGAGTCTGATGTGGAGATTGTTTCTTTTTAGGCGTTCATCCCCGTGACTTGGTATGCTTCCACGGCATCAGTAGATAGATCGTACAGCTAGTACAGTAATGGAGACCGGGGATGTCCTGGGTTAGTCTGATGATATAGTTCCTTACGTGAGGATTGGGGAGGGCCGTACTCACCTGTCCTTAAAACTGACGATCTTCCATCCTTTGCGCTTTCATCCCCACAATTTGACATCGTCGATGCCGCCATCAGGTACATCGCATCAACAGTACACCAACGGAGATGGGGAACGTTCTTTGTCACTTCGATAATTGCCTCGCGTGAGAACGGGATACCTATGGCTACGCTTAGGATATGAGTTGTCGTCTCACGTGGATTTTGTTGCTACCTGAGCGTTCATTCCCGTAGCTTGTTCCCCATCCACGGCATCTAGAGAGCGATCGCAGTGCGAGTACAGTAGTAGGGATTGGGGATGTTTTCGATGATGATGAATGTACCTTCTATTGTATCAACATGGGAAAGGGCTCCGCTTGGGCGGTCTTGGATTCGTTGGTGGAAATCGTTGGCTTGAGCATGTATCTCCGTAAATTTGTCTTCATCCATGCTATCAACAAGTAATAGAACGAGTCGAGCAATGGATACCGGAGATGCTGATGAGTGATAGGGATGAGAATGTTATTGGTCGTCTTACAGCCTGAAACCTGACTTCATCATCAGCGGGGCCGAACTTGCCCTACTTCTGCCATCACCGTCCTTTCCATCTCATCACCATCTCCACCAAGCAATGAGCCCGACAGAATGAGAACATCCGCCGTCGAAATCTTATTACTGATCGGTAGAAAGCCTCGTTAACTCTACCGTAACAGGCAATCCTTGCCTCTGACGAGAACATCCTTGCAACCTGGAAGGATCAGCTGACGATGTCATCCAGCTGGAAGGAAGTGGTATAAGGCGACCTAAGGATGATCGATTTGACTCTGTTCATCTATTTATCATCTCTACTTCTATTTGTTGCGTCAAACGCATCTCATTCCTCCTCCGTACCACCATGAAAATCATCATTATCGGCGCAGGCCTAGGCGGCCTCAGCGCTGCCATCTGCTTCGCCCGCCGAGGCCACCAAGTCATCGTCCTCGAGCAACGGCCCACCCTGTCCCCTCAAGGCGGCGGCATCAATGTCCGACCAGGAGCTTCTCGGATCATGCACACCTGGGGACTACGTCCTGACCTAGAGAAGATCGGTGATCCGACGGGTGCATTCTTGCTGAGGAATATGGCCACTGGAGAAGTTGCAATGACAAATGTGGCTGTTGATGCTTCGGATGAGATTGATTGGGGGACGAATCGGGAGTTTTTGATGAAGATGCTCTATCAAAGGGCTTTGGAGGCTGGGGCGGAAATTTTGTTCGACTGTACTGTGACAGAGACCATGGAGGAACCGTGGAAAGTACGGCTGGTCTTGAAGGATGGGAGGGACTTCTCGGCGGATCTCGTGCTTGCTGCTGATGGGATTCGGTCACGCATACGGCCACAGATCCTGTCTGATGTCAAGGAGCCCATCGATCCGATTGTCAGCAACACGACGTTGTACGGAGTCCGGGTCAACGCCAGCAAGATCAAAGCCAGATCCGACACGAAACGCTTAATGGACAACGATCATGTGAGTGTCTGGCAGGGGAAGAACGGCTTTGTGGTCTCAAGGTACAGCGAGAAGCTGAACAGCTTCGGCGGGCTTTTTGGAATGAAGTCTGAGAATGATATGAAGGGTTTGTGGGATGAGAAAGGCGACATTCAGTTCGTGAGGGACTTCTACTCTGGAAGTTGTGAGGACTTGAGGGCTGCACTTGAGGTGGCCACGTCTTGTGATCGGTGGAAGCTTGGTGAGTTATCACTTCTGTCCTTCTGTCCACCTGACTTTGATACTGACGGTGACTTCCAGCCGAACTACCAGACCTTCCACGCTGGACAAGCAAAGGCGGCAGAATCGCCCTACTCGGCGACTCCGCCCACAGCATGGAGCCGAACGCGGCTCAAGGTTTCTCAATGATAGTCGAAGATATCGGCGTCCTTGACTACCTCATCCAGCATGATCAGAACGCCGCCGCCAACCTGGCAACAATCACCAACACGTGGCAGAAGATTCGCAAGCCGCGTGTTGAACGCATCAAGGCCTACGCAAAGGAGAATACGAAGGCCTTCCTTGGCGAGCCCATGCCTCATCGACATCGCCAGGAGACGGCTGGATCGACGGTGAAAAGTTTGAAGAATGTTATCCCAAAGATGGATGCGAAGTTTACGACGAGTGCGTTTGTGAAGTGGGCGTTGGACTATGATGCTGTCGCTGAGGTACGTTGAGATTGAGTGTGGCTTGGTTTCACTGCATGTGATGTGGTCTTGTACGACTGACTGATGTCACTAGGCGAAGAAGTATGTCGAAGGCACCAGGTCACGACTGTGAACGTCACATGTGAGCGATATGAAGCTCTTGAGCTGTCTTCTCGTCTACTCAACTTCTTCTCGCGAACAACACCTCCTCGCAACAGCAACATCAGACAAGGCATTCACGTCTTCCGCGCCTGCAGATGTCATGCCAGCCAGCACAACACATCGCCGAGTCGCATGATGTCTCGCAAACCGATGCAGCAGTGACGACAGATATGATGAAGTGAGCTGAGGAAGAGAAGCGCCAGCATGCGATCGACCATTCCGACTCACTTCTTCAGAAGAGACGAAGAAGCGCATGACCAAGAACAAGTCTCCAACAAGACGGACAGTCCAGACAGCATCTCGCACACCTTCTCTCAATCACCTGCAACATCGCTTCAAGCACAAGAACCACCCCGGCGACGCAATGAGTAACGAAAATGGCTACTCAGATCACTTTCGCTCCATTCGCACCTATCGATGGTGGGCTCGAACGCATATTGGAGTTCGCACCCTTTATCATTGTGGGATGGGTGGAGCCTTCACATGATCAAGAACAAGCTGGCCAAGCTTGCTGCGCAGTCCAGCAGCATCGACGCTCTAAAAGGATTATTGAGTGTCAGGTCATGGCTGGCTCACCCTGTGCTGGGTAAACTGCACCACATAGCCGCGACGAGTCATCAGATCAACTCTTCACAGCTCACCACTCACAATGACGACCCACTCGCCACCTTCAATGGTTGCTTGAATGTCTGATCAGGTCATGTAGCTGCTGTACGGGTCGAAGCCCTTCCAAATATGATGGATACCGGCGATCCGTACAGCGGCGAGAGTATACAGGCCGAGGGCTTGGTGCCTGGCTGCTACGAGCAGCTCCTCTCCCCAGCAATGAGCACTTCTCAAAGTTCGCCATGAGCGTGGACAGGTGCTCTCGTACGACCACGACACCTTCGAGAAGAACCTTGCCCACGCTGGATGGACCGAGCAAGAAACCGACTACCTCATCAACACGTACTCCGAATGCAATGGCAAATGGCCTGTTATTGCCGACCGATACGACTACCCCGAGTCCCCGACTCCAAGCACTACCACGACTCAGACCGTTCCACGGAAGATCTCAAGGCGCGATTCTACGCTGTCCAAGCCTCAAACTCCAAGCCGCACTCCTCCAACTCTCCGCACCGATCACATCAATGCACGGCATCAGAATACAATCGATACGAAACACTCACCGTCTTCAACGCTGCACGAGAGACCTCGCGAAAGAAACTGGCAGAGGGACACCTCTACCGATGCGCAAATGAAGTCGACGAAGAGGCGAGACGGTATTGCTGGGCGAGTTGCAGCGCATCATGCTCGTTCACGCTGTCCTTGACGGCCGACGCGAAGAGCTACGGCTTTCACTCCCAGCTATCGTTATCTCTAACACCGACTGGCTACACATACAACGCATCACAAGCGCTCACCGGCCTGTAGCAGCAACTGCTGATCCAGCGCCTCACGAACTCGACGAAGAGACAGTACCACTGGTCGAGCATCAGCGCCTCATGCTCAACCAAACCATCCTCGACAGCCAACGCGAGCAGCTACTGCATCGACTTGTCAACCCATCGCCATCAACGAATGACTACTCATACAACGCATCACAAGCGCTCACCAAGTAACAGCTGACCCAGGACCGGATGAAGAAGAACCCACACTTGCGCCCCCTGGTAAAGGGTGTTGGTGTTTGGCTGCTGTTGAGGGTCGGAGCCCTTCCTCACACGGTGGATACAGGCGATCTGCAAAGGTCGGAGCCCTTCCTCGTGTGCTGGATACTGGCGACTCGTTGGGAAGGGTGTTTGGATGTGTCGTTCCTCGCTCCCACCACCATCATCATGGAGTATGAGGGTCGAGGTGGTTGATGTTGATGTTGTGCTGCTGTCGCTCTCGCGCGGGGAGTCTGGGATGGGATGGGAGCTGGGATGCCTTCAGCCTTGGCACTTTCCTTTTGTTCTCTCTCGACCAGAAGCACGGTTGGGGCGAGAGCAACCCCTGAAGGGTTTGTGGATGTCGACACGTTTTTTGACTTGGGCTGCTGCCCGGCGAGCGCTGAACGTGGATGGAGAAAGATGATTGATCCTCTGCTGGAGTACGTGAGCGATGCTTGAGGGGAGAGGCATGCTTCGGCTTCTCAGATAGTCGAGAATGAAATGAAAGGAGAGAGTCAAGTGAAAAGTGTCAAAAACTTCGATTCGCTCTGCGGGGTATATCTGCTACGCTTCGTAGTGAGTCTCTCTCGACAAGTCTCCAGTGGCTTACTCCAGGTTCGTTGACCACATCCAGCAAGTCATGTCCAGTCGCCCGGTGCACCTTCTATGCATATTTCTCCTCTTCGTATCATGCATTGGTCTTCTTCCTCTTCTTATTCGCCTTCGCAGTGCCCTCTTCAGCCTTGACCTCAACCTCAGCATCCGCCGTCTTCTTCCTCTTCGAGGGACCTCCAGCTGGAGCTTTCGGCTTCGCAGCACCAGCAGCTATTGGTTCCGTATCCTCATTCGCCTCCTGGCTTTTTCTGAGCTTCTTCTTCGCGGGCTTCTCTTTCACACTCTCCTTCACAGTCTCTACTGGGTCTTCCCCCTCCTCTCCGCCTGCGTTGGTGAAGCCTGAGTCGACTGCCGCGAAGGAATCTGCACTCTCACGCTTCCGCTTCTTCTCTGTTGTCTTCGCTTTCTGGGCAGCTTTCTTGTCGGCTTTCGCCTTTAGACGAGCCTCGACTTCTGCGGAGACGTCCTCGTATTCGACACCAGGTACTTGAGTGGTAGTAGCAGCTTCTGCCGCGTTTGGCTCCGCAGTTGACGTGCCGTTCTGCTCTCGCTGCGACTTCGTCTTTCCCTTCATTCTGGCGCGTCTGTCTTTCCGTCTCTGGCGGGTCTTGACAATTTCCCAGGCACGCTTCTCGTCGGGTGTGAGTGAAGGGACTGGGACTTTGAGAACGCCGTCCCGCCAGAGGATCTTGGTGCCAGATTGATCGTAGCGGGTGTCGGTAAGGGCGGTCAGTTTCTGTGGCTGGATCGATGGGTTGCTGGTGGGTTTGGAGGACTGTTGGGATGGAGGTGAGTCTTCGTCGTTCTCAGAAGCCACCATAGGCCGCTTTCCAGTGCCGTTGGTCTGGGCGGCGGGCTCGACAGGTTCCTCGTCCTCGTCATCCTCATCTGACTCCTCCGAGCTGATATCATGCGCTGCGCCAAACTTCTTCGCAGCCTCTTCCGCCTTTCTGGCTGTATCCAACAGACTCACGAACTCCTCGTGCCTCTGGCCCTTCTCCTTGCCTTCAGTCGGATCGGCGGCGGTGATGGTGACGAGCTGCTCGAAGATGGCACAGTACGTCTCCGTAGCTGAGTGCCACGCCTTTACTGCAGCATCCATGTAGCGATTGTGTCGGCTCACTGCGAGATGTGTGTCGTCCTTGGCGATCTTGACGTGCAGCGTTTGCACGACGTCGCGTGCAGTAGTGAGACGAGCTTCCTGTTCGCTGAGCTTGGTGGTCGCATTCCGTAGGGCGTCGAACAAAGGCTGCGAGGCGGAGTATGCCGCCAGATTCTCGCGGTCGATTTTCTGGCGCTTGGCACGCGACATTGTGAGTGGTGTACTGAGCTAGTGTTCTGTCACATGCCAGGAGAAAGTGAGTGAGGGAGACGTCGGTGTTTGGCGGGAGCTTTTTCTAGGAGGAGCTCGGTAGGGTGGGCCAGACCTAACAAACTCTTAACCCACTTAACCTTAGCTAAGCGAGTACTTACCTACCTTCTACTGCTCTTTCTCCGTTTCCTTTAGTTCTAATACCTTTATTCCTTCTACTAAAATACCTTAAAATACTATATATATCGTCTAGTATACTATTATTATACTTATATCCTTTAGACTTAAAAACTAGTATAACTAGATTAAAGAACGAATAGCCTAGTAAGTACTTTATAAGACAATTCGAGAGGACCTTAAAACGAGTACTAGTATAAGAGTAAACCTAGCTACGATAGCTAGGTATCTAGCTAAGTAGAACGTTTATATAAATACCTTTTAAAGTACTTATAATATAGAGCTCTAAGTATAAGTAGTATTTACTTTTTATATCCTCTAGCTCGAAGATATAGAGGCCTATAAAATATTACGAGTAGAGGGGTTTAATATTAAGAAGTATATATATACTCGTATTTATAAAGAGCTTAGCCTATATAAAAGACTACTACTAGAAATATAGGAAGGCACTAAAGCTAAGATTATAAGTATTTTAAAAGAGAAGTTAAAAGATATAGTAGTTAAGTTATATAGTAAGGGTAATCTATATACCTATTTCTATTCTAAGTATAATATTATTAGTAGGGAGCGAGTATATAAGATCTTAAAGCTATTAAACCTAGAGGGTATCGAGAATTAACTTAACTAAGTATAAGTATACTATAGCGCTATTATTACTTCTAGCTCTAACTTCTTATAGTCTATAAATACCTACTATAAATATAAGTTTATAGGGATATAGATTTACGCTACTATTAATATATTCTTACGCTATATTATATAGATATATATAGGGATTATAGGGCGTTTAGTAGTATTAGTACTTACTTAATATATAGTAACGCTAGCTAACCTTAGTATTATTCCTAAGAAGATTCGATCCGATCGTAGTACTAAGACTATAATAGCTATAGACACTTACTATATAATAAGCTAGGTAGTATAAGGACTAGTAGTATATAGCCTAGAGCCGCTACTATAAGTACTCGATCTAGAGCTCGCTCTAGAGTAGGCTAAGTAGCTAGTACTCGTATCTCTAATATTTAGAGACTACTATAAGTTCGGTACGAGTAAGTAGAATTAATATATTAAGACCTAGTAGAATTAATAGAGTAAAGCTCTTATCTTCTAGTACGAGTTCTTTAATAACTTATATAATACTAGGCTCTA